GAGTAAACTAAATTCAATAGCATATTAAAAGGAGAATACCATGACCAAGTTAGATTTATTGAAGGAAGGTAAGGGTGTTCAACATAGGAAAAATAAATCAGTGTAGGCTGGGCCTCATGCCTGTAATTCCAGCATTTTGGGGAGGCTGAGGTGGGTGAATCAGTAGTTCGAGACCAGCCTGGTCAACATGGTGAAACACCGTCTCTACTAAAAATATATAAATTAGCCAGGTGTGGTGGTGCACTCCTGTAATCCCAGCTACTTGGGAGGTGGAGACAGGAGAATCACTTGAACCCAGGAGGCAGAGGTTGCAGTGAGCTGGCCACTGCACTCCAGCCTGTGAGACAGAGCAAGATCTCAAAAAAAAAAAAATCACAGCTGGGCGCGGTGGCTCACGCCTGTAATCCCAGCACTTTTGGGAGGCCGAGGCGGGTGGATCACGAGGTCAAGAGATCGAGACCATCCTGGTCAACATGGTGAAACCCCGTCTCTACTAAAAATACAAAAAATTAGCTGGGCACGGTGGCGCGTGCCTGTAATCCCAGCTACTCAGGAGGCTGAGGCAGGAGAATTGCCTGAACCCAGGAGGCGGAGGTTGCGGTGAGCCGAGATCGTGCCATTGCACTCCAGCCTGGGTAACAAGAGCAAAACTCCGTCTAAAAAAAAAAAAAAAAAAAAAAAAGGCAATCAATGTAATATAATACATTAATAAAATGAAGGAAAAAACACATTATCTCGATTGATGCAGAAAAGGTACTTGACATAATTCATCACCCTTTCATGAAACTAGAAACTCAGAAAACTAGAAATAGTTTTTTTATCCTTAGCCTGATAAAGAACATTTATGAAAAACCCGCCGTTGAGCTAACATCAAACTCAACGGTGAAAGTCAGGAACAGCCACTAAGGTCAGGAACAGGACAAAGATGCGTGCTTTCACCACTGCTGCTCCACATTGTACCAGAATTTCTGGCCAGAACAACTCAGCAAGAAAAAGAAATAAAAAGCATCCAAACTGGAAAAGAAGAAATAAAGCTATCCCTATTTGCAGATTATATTATCTTATATATAGAAAATACCAACGAATCTAGCAAAAAGCTATTAGAAAAAAAATATTAGAGAAAATTCAGGAAAGTTGCAGATAACAAGTTCTACATGCAAAAAAACCCAAACACAGTAAAAAGTTATATCAAGGCACATCGAACAACATGTTCGAAGTCAGTATTTATAATAACAGGCAGAATAGTCAATATTTAACAAATATTCACTCATACCCTGAACAGTGGACCCTCCCTCCAAATTCCTTCTTATACCTCAAGTAGGGCACCAAAACTGTTTAATATAAAGGTAATATACATAGGGAAAAGCAAGGCCCTTTCTCCCCTCAAGCCCTTTTAGAAGCAGAACTGTGAAGAGCATGTAGTAAAAACATAGATCATTCTTTTTTTTGTTTTAATTTTAATTTTATTTATTATTATTATTTTTTTGAGACGGAGTTTCGCTCTCGTTACCCAGTCTGGAGTGCAGTGGCGTGATCTCGGCTCACCGCAACCTCCGCCTCCTGGGTTCAAGCAATTCTCCTGCCTCAGCCTCCTGAGTAGCTGGGATTACAGGCACGCGCCATTATGCCCAGCTAATTTTTTGTATTTTTAGTAGAGACGGGGTTTCACCATGTTGACCAGAATGGTCTCGATCTCTTGACCTCGTGATCCACCCGCCTCGGCCTCCCAAAGTGCTGGGATTACAGGTGTGAGCCACCGCACCCAGCTGAAACATAGATCATTCTAAGTGTCCACTTAACTTCAAACTCCTTTAGGAGAGATACAGCCAAAGACACTTCCCAAAGACACTTTGGGAAGCCGAGGTGGATTGCTAGAGTCCTGGAGTTTACTGATTATATGAACCAATGAACCTATAATCAATGGTACCAACCCAGACAACACAGTGAGAAGCCATCTCTACAAAAAATAAAACAAAAAATATAGCCGGGATGGTGGTGTGCACCTGTAGTCCCAGCTACTTGGGAGGCTATGGTGTGAAGATCGTTGAGCCCAGGAGTTCGAGGCTGCGGTGAGTTATGATCATGAACACTTCACTCCAGCCTGGGCAACAAAGCACGACCCTGTCTCTTTAAAACAAAACACATAAGGCCGGGGACAGTGGCTCACGCCTATAATCCCAGCACTTTGGGAGGCTGAGGCAGGTGGATCACGAGGTCAAGAGATCGAGACCATCCTGGTCAACAAGGTGAAACCCCGTCTCTACTAAAAATACAAAAATTAGCTGGGCATTGTGGTATGCGCCTGTAGTCCTAGCTACTTGGGAGGCTGAGGCAGGAGAATTGCTTGAACCCAGGAGGCGAAGGTTGCGGTGAGCCAAGATCACACCATTGCACTCCAGCCTGGGTAACAAGAGCGAAACTCCATCTAAAAAAAAATGTTTGTGTAACTGACACTGGGTCATTCTGTAATAGGACAGGGAAGGCGTGCCTGCCTTTATGGGAAACAACCCACCCTATCTATGGTGGTGGTGTTTTGTGAATGGACTGGCAACGTAGCAGGCATGAGCTCAGCAACATTATCTGCCTAGTGACATTATCCATTGTAGTAAGTCAGGCTACCCATCCAGCGTCCCTACTCTGAAACTGAAGTGTGGACTGGAAACAAATAACAAGAGGAATGCAGAAATCTGCTGAAGACTTAGGAAAATGAAAGGAAGTTTCAAAGTGAGTCACACATATTATTTTCAGGTCCATAAAAGAACTGGTAATAATTAAAGTTAGTAAGAGATAACCATACTCAAAACTGCCCTTCAGTTATATGGCATGTTACTGGTTGACTTCAGCTGTGTGAAGAGTTACTGTCCAGATGGACACTCTGAGGTGTTAGCTCCTTTATTTTTCCAATAACAGCAATAGTTACAGAGTGACTATCCCGCCCATCAGCATCACTGTCGTATACTCTGCTAGCCTGTACTGGTTTCATTTACTGGCCGCAGGCTGGGCGCAGTGGCTGACACCTGTAATCCCAGCACTTTGTGAGGCCGAGGCAGGCAGATCAAGGGTCGAGATTGAGACCAGCCTGGCCAACATGGTGAAACCCCATCTTTAATAAAAATACAAAAATTACTGAGTGTGGTGGCACATGCCTATAGTCCCAGCTACTCAGGAGGCTGAGGCAGGAGAATCACTTGAACCCAGATGGCGAAGCTTGCAGTGAGCCGAGATTGTGCCACTGCACTCTAGCCTGGCGACAGAGACTGTCTCAAAAAAAGAAAGAAAAAAAAATTTGCTGGCCCCAAGTTGTGTACTCTGTCAGCCCACACTGGTTCAGTTTACTGGCCCCACTTGGACTCCTGTTTGTTGACAGCTCTGCAAAATGAAACCTCTGGATATCTGGTTCTGTTTTAATGCAAAGCAGGTACAGTGTTGGACTAGTCTACTATACAGGAAAACTTTAGACAATTTCAGCATTGGGTCAAAAAACTGTGTCTATCAAAGTCAGTTAAGCTGTCAGTGTTCCTGTAAGAGGTGGATTTTCTAAGTTGATGAAAAATGTTGCTCCCAGGACTATAGTGTCAGAAGCTAAATGAACCCAGCAAGGTACATCTAGTCACATATTAGAAGCCAACACAGCACTCATGGCATCCTTGATTCACTGGATGCAGCCTTGGACTTCTAGAAGTTATCACCTAACTTGTCCTTCCTGTGCCATTGCCAGCCCCATTTCACATCTGCCACCTTTCCAACTCACCTTGACAACAGGAGTTTTCCTGCCCAGCAGTCCTAAGACCTTGGCCCTTCTCTGAGAAGATGGTCATGGTTAATTGCCACCAGGAGAGCAAGGGGTCTAATTGTGGGCTAATTCCAGAGGAAAGGTAGCAAAAACATGAGATGCTGTTGTATTCATGACCTCACTTTGGGTCGGTATTTTCCTACACCTGCTACTTTATATACAAACCACTGAAAAAGCAGAGTGTCTCAGGGAACTGTGTGAAGGTGGTAACTGGTCATCATATCTGCTGATCGCCATGGGAGTTTGTGAGGGAAGCTGAATCAGCCCTTGAGAGTTGGAATGTATAGCACATCTCTAGTACTGCTGATCTGAAACATTTAAGGAAACAAACGAACTTAAAAACCAGCAGAAGGCCGGACGCAGTGGCTCACGCCTGTAATCCCAGCACTTTGGGAGGCCGAGGTGGGTGGATCCCGAGGTCAAGAGATCAAGACCATCCTGGTCAACATGGTGAAACCCCGTCTCTGTTAAAAATACAAAAATTAGCTGGGCATGGTGGCACGCACCTGTAGTCCCAGCTACTCGGGAGGCTGAGGCAGGAGAATTGCTTGAACCCAGGAGACAGAGGTTGCAGTGAGCCAAGATCGCGCCATTGCACTCCAGCCTGGGTAACAAGAGCGAAACTCTGCCTCAAAAAAAAAAAAAAAAAAATTAGCTGGGCATGGTGGCACATGCCTGTAATCCCAGCTACTGAGGAGGCTAAGGCAGGAGAATTGTCTGAACCCAGGAGGTGGAGATTGCAGTGAGCCGAGATCGCGCCATTGCACTCCAGCCTGGGTAACAAGAGCGAAACTCCGTCTCAAAAAACAAAACAAAACCCAGCAGAATTATTATTTTTTTAAACTGTGGTTCAGAAGGAAGAATTATATAACTTCTTATAGTCTCAAGTCAAAAATGAAAAGGTCCTGGCAAGGAAATTACACCTCCTGGTCACTGGCCAATAATTCCCCTAGGAGATGGCCCCCTGCTTTTCTTATTAAGACAAATCTGGGACATGAATCAAGTGACAAGTTAGGCAGTGTAAGTAGGGGAGCAAGAGAAGTGTCTGGAATACCCACCAGGTCAAACTTTAGAACCATGGGTGTGGGCTTCCCCCACTAGGAGCTTAATTATAGCCCTGGCTAGTCTTCAGGATGGCAAGGGCCCAAGTTTGTTATTCTGAACTGTAACTAGGGGAATCTCTACATGAGGATGCAGACAAGAATGCTAGAAATCAAATGTGTCCTTTATTCCACCTGGTAGGCATCCCCAAGAACATGCTGAGTCCTGTCTCAACAGGCAGATGGAAGGTTCCCTGGGCCCAAGGCACACAACTACCTGGGCTCTGCTCTCCAGACAAACGATAGGCAGGGCAGACAGTGGAGAGAAGGTGAGCCTTGTAGCAGAGCCCCCAAGCATGATGGGGAATGGAAAGTTGGAAGAAGCAGGACTATGAGGCATTTGGGGCAAGTTGGGCATTTTGAAGTGAGGGCCCTTTTCAGGTGAGAGGCATTTTCATCCAGCCCCCCATGTCCACTGAAAGCCACACCCAGGCTTCGGGGATGGAGGTGAGGCTGCTGTTTCCCAACGTGGTGCTATATTCTTCTGGAAGTCCTGTTCCTTCTGCTGTGGCTGGCTAGAGCTGTGACCAAGAATGGGAACAGGAGGCTGCTGAAGTCTGGAGAAGCAGGAATATTTGTCAGAAGAACACAGAAACTGCTTGCTGGGAGTTCCATCTTTTTAGAGACGAGCTGTTTGGGGTTTAGAAATGAGATGGAGGGAAGTGGAAGGCAGAGGGCAAGAGCTGTGAGAGGCCATCAGCACAAGGACGGAGGCTGGGGGCCATGTGCAGTAGGGCCAGAGAAGCGTCCAGTGAAACTGTGGGCAGGAGGAGATGCCGCTGGGCCCTGTCCCCACCAAAGATGGAAGAACTGAGGTGGAGGCACCTGGCCACTTGTTTAGGAGAGAACTCAGGCACCAAGTCAAACCGACTCCCATGCAGAACTGCCGCCTTCTCCCCGTTGCAGTCTTGGATGGTCTGTCTGTCCACGCAGAAACCAATGGCCAGAGGGCCTACTGCTGGGATATCAGGGCAAGTGCCCAGTCCAAGAAAGCCACTGTGACGTCCTGGAGGGAGAGCCAGGTCCAGTGGACAGCCTCACTGAGCTGTGTCTTCATGCAGTCCCAGGTCACCTCACCTCTGGAAGGAAAGTAGAACATTTTTGACTATGCATGTGTGTAGCTGTGTCAATCTTGGGGCTGAAAGCTTAGATCCATAATCCTCATCCCAGGGTGGCCAGGATTGGCAGTGAGGGGCAGGACAGTGTGGGAGACTGGACAGAGATGGCTTGTCCCTGGGGCCCAGGAATGGGGCTGCTGGGGATCCTGCTGGAGCCCTGGGCAAAGGTCTCACCTGCATGCCTCATAGCAGTGCTCCTGGGCCCAGGCCAGGGCCTCAAGCAAGAGGTACCACAGCGGCAGCAGCACATTCTGGTAGAAAAGCAGGGGCAGCTCTCTCAGATAATGGAGCAGCTGATTCAGTGAATCAGGGAGCTGGATCTGTAGCTGGATCATAGAGAACGGATGGGGTCAGAATACCCAGGGAACTGCATCCTGGCCCTAAGGACTCAGGCTACACAGTGCTGCCCTTTGCCCAGAATTCTGATCCTGGGAAGACCAGCCCTGCATCCCCCTCCTTTTTTCTTGAGATGGAGTCTCGCCCTGTGGCCCAGGCTGGAGTGCAATGGCATGATCTCAGCTCACTGCAACCTCTGCCTCCTGGGTTCAAGTGATTCTCCTGTCTCAGCCTCTAGAGTATCTGGGATTACAGGCGTGCACCACCATGCCCAGCTAATTTTTTGTATCTTTAGTAGAGACAGGGTTTCACCATGTTGGCCAGGCTGATCTCGAACTCTTGACCTCAGGTGCTCTGCACGCCCCAGCCTCCCAAAGTGCTGAGATTACAGACATGAGCCACTGCCCCCAGCCAACCAGCCCCTTCTTTAACTCCCTGTCTCTGGCTTACCCTCTGAGAGAGACTGGTGAGGCTGTCACCAAACCAGGCAAGGTGAGAGGCATAGTGGGCAGAAAGGAAGCTGACTGTGGCATTGGTGTGAGCCCAGGCCAGCTGCAAGCTGGGCCGCACTACAATGATCAGGTGGGAGCCCCAGATCGGCAGTGTCTCCTCCAGCCAGCTATGGAAGATAGAGGTGGGGGAAGAGGGCTCTGAGTCTCCTTAGGCCCACTCAGCTCCCAAGAAACAGCTCGGGAAAGGGAGGCTGTGGGAAAGGAGAATCATAAGCGCTTCCCACTGGCTGTCACCTCCCTGATACCCAGGCCTTCTCTCTTCCACCTCTCCTCTCCCCTCCCTGGGAGGAGCTCACCTGTAGCCTTGCAGACTGTAGGAGTAGAGCTTGGCATAGGCTTGTTGGCTAGCAGGCAAGAAACCAGATGATCGAAGCAACCGGCCAGTACGGGAGGCTGAGTAAAGGGGGCCTCTGGTGAGCTGGGAGGTGAGAGGGGCAGGGACTGCGGAGACAGACACTACAGGGCCCAGAGCAGGCAGAGTGAGGCACTGGGCAGAGCTTTGTGTGCTCACAGGGCCACAGAGCCAGCTCCAGGCTGCTGTGGAGGGAGGCATGCAGGGCTGCCCCTTCTGCTGGGCCAGGTGAGCAGGAATGTGGCCGCCAGGTGGAGCCCAGTTCAGGCATCAGGAAGCCTCAGGTTGAGGGTCTGCCCTTCTACTTACTAGCCACGACCTAAAGCTAATTGCTACATCTTTCTGAGATCATTTCCTTGGGAGTTAAAAGGAGGTAATACCTACTTAAATGATATCATGAATATGTAAGCACTTCTATACTGCCAAGTCCTAGTCCAGTCTGAAATGGTAGTGTTTACTCTGCAGGATTGCAAACTCGTCAGGACAAAGATGTGTGCTGTGGGGGGTGTGGTACAAAGCTCTGTGCCCCGCTCACGACATCCTCCTTGCTTGCCAATTGCTGCTTACCCTGGAAGGAGCTGTGTGACCGGAGGTCATGGCACAGAAAGCCTATAGCAAAGACCAGCAGCAAGAGGAGGAGCCGCATCCAGGGCAGCCCAGGACCCTGAACCTGCTGCAACAGGCCCTGGGAGGAGGGGAGAAGGAGATAGTTGTCAGAAGCGAGAGGGGCTGGGCTTTGCCTCCAAGGGCAGACCTCAAGCCAGGCCGTCCCAGTATCAAGTCTTCATATTACCCTGGGGGCAGTGAGGGGCTCCATAGACAGGCGGGGTAGGAATGTGATACAGGTCCAACCCGGGTGTGCCGAGACAGAGATGTCAGATAGCATGTGGGCTGGAGAGGGCCGGGTGCCAGTACCTTGCAGGCTGTGTCACAGGTGACGACATCCTGGTTGTTACTGCTGCCCTTCCTCAGCAGCTCCTGGTTGGTAAGCTTAAAGGACTGAATGGATTCTTGCAAAGACTTCTGTACCTATGGGCAAGAAAGGTCTGGCCTGTGAGGGAATCCAGAGCTTCCATCCTGCTTCATTTTCCAGGCCAAGTGTACCAGCAGGGTCCCTTCTCAGGGAAGGGACAGTGGCTGAGGAGCCTCCACTCAGAATCCAGAATCCAGACAGGGCTCAACCTGCCATATCCTTCCAGCTCCTCACCTTCTTGGGAATCTGCTCCCAGGAGTTGAGCAAGTGCTCCAGCAGCACACTGTGGGAAAAGCACAACTCCCTGGTCAGGTGGCTCACGCGGCCTCGCCCATCCTCCCATCCTCCCATTAGCCCTGGCTCCTTCAGAATCCACCCCCACCCACAGAGGAGCAGTTTCCTAGAGGTCACCCCAGCAATGTTCCCACTTAGTCTGAGAGGTGTCAGCCCATGGGAGAGTGACCCATGCTCCCCTTCTGCTTCTAGCACAGGGACAGGCCTGCCCCCCACCCCACCTGCCTGGACTGTGACAGGTGCTTAGGGTACAGCTGCCTCCAGACGCTGGCGCTGAGGGGGTCTACCGTCAGGCACTCTGTCAGGTTACTCAGGAGCTGCATGGGGGACAGATGGAGAGGCTGCTGGTGGCATGGGCTGACGGAGGGGGAAAGTGCTAAGAGGTAATCCCTCTCCCATAAGCGAGGCCACCCAGGCTGCACATCCACCCTAAGGGGCGGAGAAAGTGTCAAGACTCCGGAAAGCTCTCTGAGAGGCTGTAAAGCAGGAGGCTGGGGCTCCTGACCTAGAGCTTTGAGCTTAAAGAGCACTCATCTGCAAGTGACGGGCATCAGAAACCACCCAGACCTGAATGTGCTGTCCGTTGGGATTTATCTTCTAAGGGTGAGCTCGAGTGAGCGGGGCAGAGAGCTAAGGAAAAGCCTCAGAATGGGCTCTGTGAAGGCAAGGCCTTTGTCAGCAGATAGGGACTGCTGCAGCTGACCCCTGGGGAAGGAAAAGAAGCCTCCCACCACGTCCTCACCTCTTTCTTCATCTCAGGGGGACAGCTAGGGGTGGCTCTGGACAGGAAAGAAGGGAAGTAGGTGTGCAGGGTGGAATCCGGCTTGGCTCCAAATGCCAGCACCTTCAGTCGAGGGTAGAGCTGACACAGCTGCTCCTGCAGACTGGGTGGGGTGGGGAGGAAAGCCAGGCCTAAGCTATAAATGGAGCTGTGTGATGTGAACCTTTTGCTTGCTTCAGAGCCTGTACCTGTCTTGGGGGAATAGTCACTGAGGACATTGCAATCGTTCTGAATCTTTTTACTTAGACCCCTTGAAAATCTGTTGAAAGCCATCGACCCTCTCCCTAAGAAGATGTCTATATGCCAATCACATTAAAGGGTCCATATAATTTCAAGGGGTCACTGTTTCCTTGAAACCCACTCTTGAACTTCGAGGTTGCAAATCTCAGATCTAGGATGGCTGGGAAAGAAGGGATGTGAATATGTAGCCTGGTTCTGGTGCTGGGGTCCCTTCACAGCAGGTGTGCCCCACAGCAGTCCTACCTGGGTGTCAGGGAGTTGTTAGGCATGTAGGCAAAGTCCAGGAGTGGGAAGAAGTCCTTGGGGCTGATCATGCCAAAGCCCTTGGTCAGGTTGGGATGCATCCTGTGGGGATAAAGAAACAGGCTCGCTGGAGACTACCACCCATGCCAGCTGTTTTGGCTATGACCCCAGCTAAGCCAACATCTAGGCAAAAGGGTATAAACTCTACCCCATCTGCCAGCCCTTAATAGCTCCCTCTTCTTCCTTCCTCACCATCACATTCTAAGGTGGTGGGAGGAGCTGGTCCTGATTTTCCTCATATCCATGGAGACCAAGATCATAGCCTGCCGTTTTGCTCTAACAGCCACTTGTGACACCCTGAGCCTTCCCCTTGCTGCCCTCCCATTACTCACATAAGCAGCCGATCCAGATATGCGATGGCAAAAGGAGACAGAGACTTGATGCCCAGCACAGGCAGCATGATCCCCAGCCACACTGTGGAGGTGAAGGTCAGAAGGAAGCCTCAGGCTTGCACCTACTGGGGGCATCAAAGAGGAGTTTTCCAGCTCCAAGACCCTCCTTCTTCCCTACTTCCCTGTTACCTTTCAGTCCCTCGGTGAGGTTGGCAAAACCTGCTTGACCCAGGGCCCACATGATGGTCAGACACTTTGCTGGTCGGCTCTGATGGGACCTCAGCAGCTCCAGGAACTGAGGGGACAGGTGGGGAAGTCAGATTGGGATAGGACAAAATACCAGGAGCACCCTCAAAGCCAGGTGGGAAGGGAGATGTCAACTGGAAAAGGGAGACAGGCCAAGCAAGAGTGGAGCACTATGGTCACGTGGTATAACTGACCCTAGGAAAGTTACTGAACTCCTCTGTGGCTCAATCTTTTCATCTATAAAAATGGGAAATAATACCAGTACCTGCCTTCAGTGTTTCCAAAGCAGATACACAGTAGGTACTGATAGTATTACCTATTATCACTAGGCTTACAGGCCTTCCACTATCCCAAACCTGAGTCCAACAACATAAGATTGTGCCCAGGCTCCCAAGTCCTAGCTTCCTGGTGTCCCCACCACCACCGAGAGCTCACCTTGCCTAGGTTTGCAGTGGCAATCTTGGGCTTGTCTTGCAGGATGGCCTGGATACAGATGCGGTAACCATGCAGTGAATCCCCTGGAGAGATACACATTCTCACACCTGCTTACATTACTTGGCATCCCAAACCTGAAATCTCCCACCACTAACTCCTAACTTCCTTCTCCCTTTCAAAAAACAGTGTCAAGATTAGCACATTTTTCTATTGGAAACAGAACTATTGAGCGGTACTGAAAGCAGGAAAAAAAGGAGGCTGCTCCCAAGATGGTCATCCCTCACATGCCCCTCTCACCTGGTGTCTTATCCAGCTCTTGCAGCATGGTGAATAGACAGTGGTCAAAAAAGAGCTCCAGAAACCCTGCTGCCTTCGCCAGCAGCCCCCGGATGATCCCACGCAGCTCCCGACTCACCAGGCTGTAGGGATAATCTAAGGCCCATAGACCTCAATGTGAGTGCTAAGACCACACACCCATCAGCTCTGAGAACTCTGGTGCTCTTCCTGAGAATGGTGAGTGGAGGCAAAGGCCCTGCACTGAGGCTAGGATCCTACTCTGAGGATGCCCAGAGGGAGGATCACAGAACGAGGCCCAGAAACATTCACAGTCACGATTTGAGAACAGCTCAAATCACCCATGGAAATCAGGAGAATGGGAGTCTCTGGGATCTGTCACTAACCCACCACCCTTTTCGAATTTCTTTGAACTTATCTGAGCTTGAGGGAGTTAAGACTTACCATGAGTATGCTGGCTCAGCGTGGGTTCACTTAGAGGAGCTTGGAGTTTGTAGTTGAGATAGCTGGCCAGGTCCTTCAACCATATGGATGGGTTTCCAGAGAACACGCTCTGGCTCTTGTCCAGTTCCTTCTGCAGGGCTGCCACATCCAGCTGCCAGGGACAATCCCCCAACCCCCCACCATGGTGAGCTGTGAGTGAGGGTGTAGAGAAATGGGGTAGGGGTGGGAAAATGGTTGAGCTAGGTGGCAGTAGGAAGAGGGTTTCCGTTTTTAAACATAAGAACATGGAATGCTGCAATTCTGCTGCACCCACGTCTTTAAGTATGAAACAGAACAGCTGAAAATGCTGATCTCAAGGCCCTAGCCTCTCAGGCCCTCCACATGTTCAAGAGGAAAACAGAGGGCTGGGCACAGTGGCTCATGCCTGTAATATCGGCACTTTGTGAGGCCAAGACGGGAGGATGATCTGAGGTCAGGAGTTCGAGACCAGCCTGGCCAACATAGTGAAACCTTGGCTCTACTAAAAATACAAAAAGTAGCCTGGCGTGGTAGTGCGCACCTGTAATCCCAGCTACTCAGGAGGCTGAGACATGAGAATGACTTGAACCTGGGAGGCAGAGGTTGCAGTGAGCCAAGATCACGCCACTGCACTCCAGCCTGGGAGACTCTGTCTCAAAAAAAAAAAAAAAAAAAAGAGGAAAACAGAGGACAAGGTAGAAAATGAAAGATCACTATTTCCATAGGTCAGAGAATGATAACCAGATCACTATTTCCATAGGACAGGGAATCATAACCAGTTCCTCTCTGGTGTTTCTGGGTCTTCAATGCTTTCCTCTTACCAATCCATGTTTTCCTATAAACTTTCCATTTCCTTTCTATTCTAAGTGCAGCATTCTGTTCCCCTGGGTTTCCATCTTTTCCTGAACTCCTCCTCTTAACCCTTAAGTGTCCCAAATTCCACAGGTTCTCAGCTGCCCATCCACCTTCCCCAACTCTAATATTCTCTACATCTCAAGCCCCCATTCTTTCTGCGTCTCAAATCTAGGCACACTCACAGCTTTCAGTGCTTCCTCCAGGCTGCGGAAGCGCCCCTGCTTCTGGTTTTGGTTGGGAGGAGTTGCCCCCTTCTTTGGCTGCTTCTTGTTCCCTGGTTTCTTAGGCTCCACAGCAGGGGGTGGGACCTGCTCCTTATTCTGCCGCTTCATGATATTTTCAAAGCCCCGCTCATAAAGGGTGCTTGTGGTCTGGATTGGAGCTGGGGTGAAGATAGGTAGAGAAAGGGGAGCCACCCTTAAGTCCCCAAGGCCTCACCTATCAGTGGTCCCTTTCCCCACACAGCCACCTAATTCATCTGCAGGGAAGAGCCTGTCCTTTCCTCTGACTGCTTAAGGAGCAGGGCAGGGTAGCTTCTTTGATTACAGCTCTTGAGTCCATGGACTCTTTCATAAAGATGGGGCAGTTATTAGACAAATCAGAGTATGTGGGAACAAGCAGAGAGATCGGATATAGAGGTTTGCCTTCTTCAGTGAGTGGCTACTAGTCTGGGAAGACAGGCTTTTTCCATCTTGGTCCTACCCCAACGCCTCTTGGCTCCGACATGACAACTCTATCATCAACAAGTGGCAAGCTTTCTCCACTCCTCAGTGGAAGAACCAGGTGTCACCTGCAATTCTTGGTGAGTGTTGAGTGTGTGGCGGTCATTTCTCCCACTGCTGGGCTTCCTGTCCCTCCCTCCATGACCTGCTGGTTGCTTAAAGAGAAGGCACCGTGTATAATGATCCAGAGTGCCTCTTCCCAGCTCAGACACCTGCCCAGAGAGGCCAGCTAGCGCCCGGGACAGCTGGGAGGGTGTGCAGTGAACTGAGCGTCTGAAGATCAGAATCCTAGCCCCTGTGACATATGACCCTGGACAAGGTGTACAACTTCACTGGGCCTCAGTTTACTCATCTGGGAGGTGAGGACCGCAACCTTCCCTGGAGCTAGCTGCCTCCCGTGAGGCTCCAAAGAGACAACGCATGGGTGGCGCCAGGGGATGTGCCTGCGAGCTCGCGCCCAGATTCTGGTAGCGGCTAGCTGCGACCCAACCGGACAGGCCCGGGGTAAGCGGCGGCGCGGGGCAGGTACTCACGCGTCAGGTCGTATTTCCACACTCCATTTGCCTCCCCGAGTGCCCGGCGGTCCCCGCCGCCGCCTCGGCCGCCAGCACCGGCCCCAGGCCGCCGGCCCTTCTTCACTACCTCCCAGCGCCCCACACCCGCCGTCTTGGCCGCCATGGCTGGGAACCTTCTCGCCTCTGCCACCTCCCCGGCTTTCCGGTCCCGAGTGGGGACGCGGCGCTCTGCCACGTCTCCTCGCAGGCCGGCGCGTCTGGCGCCCGCCGCAAGGCAGCCTGGGACTTGTAGTCCCTCTCCTAGGCCGGGCGCTCCTGGGCGAGAAGCTCGCGAAAGAGGCTCCCGCAGCAGCCTGCGGCCCTCACCCAGGCGAGGAGGCCGGGAGGAGAGGCGATTCCCTTCTGAGAACGTTCATTGAGCGTCGATGTGAAGGTCACGGCATTGAGCGACTTGGTAGAACGGTTTCTGTTTTTCTTTCCTTTATTGATCAATTGATTGATTCATTGACAGGGTCTCGCTCCGTCGCGCAGGCTGGAATGCAGTAGCGCGATCTCAGCTCACCGTAACCTCCTCCTCCAGGTTCAAGCGACTCTCATGCCTCAGCCTGCCAAGTAGCTGGGATTACAGGAGCCCGCCACCATGCCCGGAAAATTTTTGTATTTTTAGTTAAGACTGAGTTTCGCCATGTTGGCTAGGCTGGTCTCGATCTCATGACCTCAACTGATCAGCTGGCCTTGGCCTCCCAGAGTGCTGGGATTACAGGCGTGAGCCGCGGCTCCTGGCAACCGTTTTTCTTTCCTTTCTTGTACAGCTGGAAGGATGGAATGGAAGTAGTGCTCCTCGCCTCTGGGGAGAGTTTGAAGATTAAATGCTTCCTTCCTTCTAGAAAAGTGCTGGCTTTATTGTTGCTAGTGATTAAACTTCGGGTTTAATGGGCTATACAAATCTATTGGCAAATAACAAGGAAGAGGATGGGGGCTTGAGGAAAGGGCAGAGTGAGTGTTGGGGAGCTAGGGTAGGAGGTGGAGAATGGAGAATACTTTTTTTTTTTTGAGACAGGATCTTGCCCGGTCGCCCAGGCTGGAGTTCAGTGGCTCCATCATGACTCACTGCAGCCTCAACTTCCAGGGCTCAGGTGACCCACCACCATGCCCTGCTGATTTTTGGTATTTTTGTAGACACGAAGTTTTGCCGTGTTGCCCAGGCTCGTCTCAAACTCCTGGGCTCAAGTGATCCACCCTCCTCAGCCTCCCAAAGTGCTGAAACTATGGAAGTGAGCTACTTCCACAGTGAGCCTGAGAGTTCTTCTCATGGGAGGCTGAGAAAAGTCTGGGGTCTGAGACAGCCAGAGCCGGGTTTCCCCTTCCAGGCAATGGGAAAGAACAGGCTCCAGCTCTCACCACAAGAGTCAATCCCAAGTTCCAGATGTGTCAGGAAAGTGACGGAGAGCCCCAGACCTGAGGCATCAGCAGACAGTTTCCTGCTCAGACATCCACATGGAGGGTGTTAGTAACCTGGGAGCCTTCAGAACCTTGAAGCATCCCAGCAGAGGAGAATGAGGGAAGATAAAATCAAAGTGACTCATCACAATTAAGGAAATGTGCTATTTCATGTACAACTATATGTGAGGATGAGATTCCTAGCTGCTATACTGACGTATTATGGTAAGAACTATGAGAGTCTTAATTCCTACAGGATGAACAGCTGAGGGAGCAATTAATTCCTTAGGAAGGAGATTAGCTTCCCGAAGAAGATGGCAGCTGAAATGGGTTCTGAGAAAGAATTTTCATTGGTTGGCTGGGCGTGGTGGCTCATAGCTCCCAGCACTTTGGGAGGCTGAGATGGGTGGATCACCTGAGGTCAGGAGTTCGACCAATCTGGCTAACATAGTGAAACCCCGTCTCTACTAAATACAAAAAATTTCCCTGGGCGTGATGGCACATGCCTGTAATCCCAGCTACTTGGGAGGATGAGGTAGGAGAATCGCTTGAACCCAGGAGGCAAAGGTTGCAGTGAGCCGAGATTGCATCATTGCACTCCAGCCTGGGCAACAAGAGCAAAACTCCATCTCGAACAAAAACAAAAACCTAAAAAAAGAATTTTCATTGGTCAAGGATTAGGGTGGGTGGAGAGAACATACCAGTTGTGTGGATCTGTTCATGTAAACAAAGACCTAGAGGGTGGTAAACTGAAAGCAGTTCAATGGGACAGTGCTTGGTGGGACTTTGGAGGTGATGAGGTGTGATATAGTTTGGATGTTTGTCCCTGCCCAAATCTCATGTTGAATTGTAAACCCCAATGCTGGCAGTGGGGCCTGGTGGGAAGTGTTTGGATCATGATGGTGGATCCCTCATGGTGGATCCCAGTTCTCATGAGATCTGGTCATTTAAATGTGTGTGGCACTCCCCACCACCTCTATCACTCTCTCTCTCTCACTCTCACTTGCTCCTGCGGTTACCATGTGATGTGCCTGCTCCCCCTTTGCCTTCCTCCATGATTGTAAGCTTTCTGAGGCTTCCCCAGAAGCAGATGCCAGCATTATGCTTCCTACATAGTCTGCAGAACTGCGAGCCAATTAAACTTCTTTTCTTATAAATTACCCAGTCTAGATGTTTCCTTATAGCAATGCAACAATAGCCTCATATGAGGTTGGAAAGGGATCTGGGCCCCTATATCAAGGAACTTGCCTGCCAAATCTGGACTTTATCCTTCAGGCCCTGAGAGACCAGTGAGAAGGTGGCATGATCCACTCTTTTGGAAGGGTAAATGGGGCTGTGTGAAGTGTAGGTAGGGGAAAGTAGAGGGGGGGAGATGAGCATATCTTGCTGCCTCCTTCTACCTGTCCTCCAGCCCCTTTAGGCCTGACAATGGCTGAACTTTGCATCAGGTAGCTCTGAGATGCAGTGCTTTTGCCAAGGACCATATATGAGCTGATAATGAACTCATTTTTCAGATCATTTGAGCTGATCATTAATCAACTCAGGAGACCAACGACATCTTCTCTTTGTTCAACCCCTCCCTGTGTCACATGTATGATTACAGAAGAGATCTTGTTTTTGGAAGGGAAACAGAACTGGCTTTCCATTGAGGCAAATGAGGGGGATGCCCCATGGTAGAGACACACAGAATGGTGGGAGAGGGGCTCTTTCATTCGAGTAGTCTGGCAAGTTATCTGTTACAACTTGGCATGTAGGACATAGAAATCATTCATTTACTTATCCAGCAGCCTTTCCTAAGTACCTTCTCTGTGTCAGGCCCTGCACTAGGTGGAGCTGGGAGATGTGGCTCACGTGCTTGTAAGGAACTTGAAGGCTGTGTGGCAGACCAATCCAGACGAAAGAAACAGTATGAGGTACCAGGAAGAGGTGGAGGAGAAGGGAGTGGCTTTACATCCTTAAGCTCTGGGTGTTAAAGAGCAGCCTTAGACACTAACCATAGAGGTGGGCTTGGGTAGGCTCCCCCATGGGGTTTGAAGACCCAAAAGATGTTGGGTCAAGGAGGACATGAGTGGCTAGTGTGGGGGCAAGCAGAAGGGTGAGCTCTCTGAAGCACTCACTGTTTTACCCACTGGACTACGTTTCTATTGCTGCTAAAACAAATTGCTACACACTTAGTGGCTTAAAGCAACACAAATGCGTTATCTTCTAGTTCTGGAGGGCAGGAGCCTAACACAGGTATCCCTGGGCTAGAATTGAGGTGTTGGCATGAGTGGGCTCCTGTCTGGTGGCTCTGGGGGAGATCCATTTCCTTGCCTTGCCCAGCTTCTAGAGGCCACCTGCATTCCCTGGCTCATGGCTCCCTTCTGTCTTTAGAGTCTTTTCATTTTATTTGAGACAGGATCTTGCTCTGCTGCCCAGGCTGGAGTGCAGTGGCATGATTATAGCTCACTGCAGCCTCGACCTCCAGGGCTCAAGTGAACCTTCCATCTTAGCCTCCCAAGTTGTTGGGTCTACAGGCATGTGCCACCATACCTGGCTAATTTTTCTGTTTTTTTTTTTTGTAGAGATGGGGTCTCGCTGTTGTCCAGGCTGGTCTCTACCTCCTGTGAGCACAGGAGATGATAAGTGATTCTCCTGCCTTGGCCTCCCAAAATGCTGGGATTGAAGACATGAACCACCACGTCCTGCCCACTCTGACCCTTTCTGCCTCCTGCTTCCATTCTTAAAAACATTTGTGATGACACTGGACCCACCTGGGTAATCCAGGACACTCCCCCTAATTTAAGATCAGCAGATTAGCTACCTGAATTCCATTTGCAACTTTTTTTTTTGAGACAGGGTTTCACTCTGTTGCCCAGCTGGAATGCAGTGGAGCAATCATGGCTCACTGCAGCCTTAAAAACAACTGGGATGAAATGATCCTCTTCCTTCAGCCTCCTGAGTAGCTGGGCTACAGACACGTGCCACAATGCCCTTCAAATTTTATTTTTTATAGAGACGGTATTTCCCTATGTTGCTCAGAAAGGTCTTGAATTTCTGGGCTCAAGTGATCCTCCCGCCTTGGCCTCCCAAAGTACTGGGATTACAGGCATGAACTACCATGCCCGGCCCATCTGCAGCCTTAATTCCCCTTTGCCATGTAACCCATATATTCACAGCTTGTGTGAACATGGATGGGGGAGGCACTGTTCTGCCTTCCACACTCACTTTACCTTCAGGGTGAGGTCTCAGCCTGAAGATGAACATGGGGCAGTGCAGAACGATGGCCTTGACCTTCCCTGTTATCTACCTGTCATCATGGGGAAAAGCCTTTTAAAACTAGGCAAGGGGATGAAAAGTCATCAGGATAAGTAAAAGCAGGCAAGGAACTTGTTGGAGGAGAAAAGAGACAAAGAAAATAAGGCCAGAAGTGTCTAGGTATGTGGGAGTGGGAGTCAACAGGGGAGGTGGAGGTGATCGAGGAACAAACAGATACAAATTGCTTATTCTAGGCTTGAATCTGGTTTCATGAGAGAAATGGTGGTGGTCTTGGAAGAGGCCATGGGGTGGGGCCGCAGAGGAGACACAGCTGCATGTTGGCCATACTCAGGGTGGTGAGGAAAGCCGCACTAGGCTGTGGCTGGAGGGACACCCTGGAGGTCACACCTCTGTGGTCTGTGGGGATGAACCCTGAACCTCAAGTCAAGAGGTGTGGGTTCTAGTCCATGTTTCTGCCACAGTAAGTGAGTCATGCATGTGGGCCTCTGACCCCTTAGCAGTAAACAGGGTGGGGGAGGGCACTGGTCTAGATGGCCCCAAGATGCTCACATTCACTTCCACACTCTTGGTCTCTCCTAGGCTTCGGGGACATGGGTTAGTATGGCCCTTTGTCAGGCACATGCCAGGAGTGGGGCTGTGCAGATGGCATGGAAGGGTTCCTGACTCCCTGTTCCCACTGGAGCCAGCTCTACAGAAGGAACGGCTTGGATGTTGCTGTCCTGGGCTTCAGCACTCAGAACTCCTTGCTCTTTTTAGCCATCCCAGCTCTCTGTCACGTGAGTGCCTGTCCCCAGCTGAATCACTATGGTAAGGTGTGTGAGCTTTGACAACAGGTGGGGGACGACATGTAGTTACCCTGGCCCAAAGGAGACTGAAACTAAACGCCTCCTGGCCAGGCCACCACGCTGCCCTACGGCTGCTTCACTGGCTGCCCCTCATCAGGGCCAAGGGCCCAGACCTAGTTCCTCCCCAGGGACGGGGGGTTGGGGCCCTGCCTGCCTTTTCAGAGCCCCATCACCAGTGTTGGGCATTGGTGGTGTTTTCCGGGTCTGCGGGAGGTTGACTGTGAGGCTGTGCTACAGCCATCACCTCTGGAGAGAGGGGCGCATGGGAGGTGGAAAGCCCTGGACCTGGGCTGTGGCTGAGTTGAGGGACACATGGCATGGACTTTTACCACACAAGTTTATTTAAATAAAAGTGAACACATATGCAGGCTGGTGCCCAAGGGGCAAGGGGTGGGGAGGGTGGGTGGGAAGCAGACAGACAGTGGGATCCAGGCAGAGTCTGTGTGGTGAACCAGGTGGCGAGAGGCAGCAGCCGGGGGCCTCAGGGCAATGCTGGGCTTCGGTGCTGGGGCAGGGGGCCTTGGGTGGGTCAGCCTGGTGCCAGGAGGTCACTTCCATCCTTCACATGCTCCCCTCCCTCTCCCTTACCCCTTGGGCCTACAGCACTACCTCCTCAGCCCCCTCTCCCTCTCCTGACATCAGCCTTCCCTTCAACTACTGAGAAGCCAAAAGACAAAATAAATTATAATGGGTGAGTCCTGCCCCAGCCCCCAGCCTTGGGGAAGGGAAGCCAAGCAAGGCACACTGCCCCGGAGCCCGTGCTGTCAGCCCTGGAAAAGAACAGGTAAAGTGCAAGGAAAATCCAGTAAGTAAAAATATACCAATGACTTTGTCAAATACACAGCTGCTGGCTGTCGGGAGCAGGTGGCTGGCTGGGGCGGGTGGCAGCAGCACCCTGGGAAGTGTTGGGAGACACAGCAGAGAGACAACGGAAATAAATAGGGTGGGTGTGGACAGGGGTCCCGCCAACCGGGCCAGTGCCACCCAGGACGGGCTTCTGCCTGCTTCCCGGCCCCATGTCCCCAAGCCCTGCTCGCCTGGCTCCCAATGCTGCGGCACTGACACAAAGCACCCGGCCGACTGTGTTAGGAAAGGACTGTAATGTGGGGGTGGAGCGGGAGGGAGGCACAGGGAAGCCGTGCAGTCAGCCAGGGCTGCGGCCGCCCTCAGTACTCGTCCTGGTCTTCTTGTTGATGCTCTTCAATCTCATCGTCCTCAGGGGGTGCGAATCCTTCCTGGGGGGTGAGAGGGAGGGGAAAGTGGTGGGCCTCTATAGGTAGCTGAGGAGCAAGGGGTCAAGAGTTCGGGAGCCCTGAGCTAGTGACTTTACCTCTCTCTAATTAGGAAATGTTCTCCATGGTCCTTTCTGGTCCTATCACGCTTCTGGTCTTAGGGCTAGGCCAGACTGGGGAGGGCCCGATGGGCCTGGGAGTGCTCACCTCCGTGGCATAGAGGATGCTGATGATGCCTGAGATGACAGGGCTGTTTTCACTTTCATGCTCCTGGCAGATGAGCTCGATGTCACGAAGTTTGCTGAAGTAGAAGTCACGCTCCTTCTCCAGCCCATCCACTGTCAGCTTCAAGTCCACCAGCTGCTTGGGGACAAGGCAATGTTCAAGCCAGAGGTCCCCGCCTCAGGCTCCCCTGCCTGCCCTCCTCTTGTCCCTCAGACACCCCAAGGGCCTGGCTTTGGTGAGAGGGCTCTCTTAGCTACCCTTACCCATCCCACTCACCTGCTGGTTGAGTTCAAGAATTTGGGCATCAGTCTCATGGCCGCCATTTCGGGCTGATGGAGGATTCTTCCGGAGGATGCAGGGTGGGGCCACGTTGCTCAGCCGGCCAGAGGTCTGCATGTTTTTTGGGCCTGTGGGGGATGTCCTCTGTGGAACTGCCCAGAGAAAGAGTCAGGTGAGGCCACGTGAGCCCATAGCACACATGGCAGGAAATAGCCTGGTGTGAGGACTGCGGGGCAGGCCCATGCGACAGGCAGGCACTCTCAACCCCCTGCCCCCACCCTTGGATGGGCATCTAGAGCTAGGCCCGGAGCCTTGGCCACGTGGATACTCCAGCAGCTGGGCAGCCCTTTGGCAAGGCCAGGAGAACAGAAACTATAGGGAACTAAAAGGAGGTGTGAGGTGTTGGGGTGAGAAGAGTTGGCCTGAAGGGGAGAGGAGATAAACTGGGACAGCGAATTTGGGGAAGTGGAGCTGGAAGGGTTCAGGGCCCTCTGGTACTGACAGCTAGAGGAAGGGCAGCTGGCCAAGGGTCTTGCCTAACAGAAGCCCCAGCCCAAAGCCATCATCCCTGGGTGGCTGCCCCTCCTGGGGCCCCATGTCAGGATGGGCTCTGTTGCCCTCTGCTGGGTGGGACGGGTATCTGCACAGTGGTGGAAAAATTAGGGACCCCAGTTCCTCCCCAGCACAGCCAGCATGCCGTGGCCACTTGCTCACTAGCGACTGCACCTCCCTAGACAGCTAGACAGCGGGCTGCTTCTAGTGCAAAGCAAGCAGGCGGGCAAGTGGGGCAGGCCCAGGCGGAACAGCAGCGCAGACGGAGGAGGCGGCTCTGCTATGACGGGGTCCGACGCGGGCTGGGGCTGCTCCTCTCCCTTCCCCTCCCAATGCTGCTGTTTCTCAAAGGCCCTCCTGCTTCTCTCCCTTCCCCTCCAGGACTCAGATAAAGCCTTGTTTCTAGAGACTCATCTTTTGAGGACTTAGGACTGTTGGGCCTTTTGAATGGGGGAAGGTGTGATCGATCAACTTGGCAACTCCTGCCCCTGGCTGGCCAGTGGGCAGGGGGCAAGAAGGGGCTGTGGTGCTGGCACCAGGCTCTTGGCCTGGAAGCACCTGGATGGAGAAACCAAGCCACCTTGCTGCCCCATCATCCTGAGGCAAACAAGTTAGCTCATGCTACAAAACAAGGTGCCTTCAGCCTCCTACCGCCAGCTGCCACCATGGCTGGTGCTGGTGGCTCTTTTAGAGCAATTTTTGGAGCTCTCTCACCCACTACTTTCACTTCCCCTGGTCTAAGTGGCCAGCAGGCGGCGTCATCTGAACTCCGTGATAACAGTCTCCTCCAGGCTGGCAGGGCCGGGCCGTGGCCCAGGGGGCACTCCTGGCTGTAGAGGCCTGCCGGCCCGGCCCCCCACTCTCCCTCCCCCGGCTCGGGCACGTTACCTGCTGTGCCAATGAGTTTCTTGGATTTGTTGAAGATCTGATCACCTGGGTTAGGAGGTGGCGCTACGTCCTGGCCCTGCCGCGCCAGCAGAGGGTTGTAATCCTTTCCATCATAGTTTGCGTCAAAGAATTTCTTAAACCACTGAATAAACTCAAAATTATCTTGGAATTTTCCTTTCACTAATTTCTCTACAGGAATGATCTGAAATAGACCACATAAGCAGAGTACTTTAGCCACCTGCTGCTGTAGGGCTGCCTTCCTCTGCCGAGGGCCACTGCTGTCAGAAAAGCCAGCCCCTGGGCTGCAGCGTCCTCCATCTTCTCCACCTTCCCCCCTCCCACGGCACCAGAGCAGACAGGTAGGCTTGGCAGGCCCCAGTCTCGGATCCAGAGACATCCCTCCTCTACAGGCACTGTGTGGAAGAACTGTGATGGGAGGTGTCCCTTGGCTCTACTGCCTGCATGTGGGCTGGGGGTCTGCAGCCACTGAAGCAGGAGAGTGAGCAAAGACACTTTCTTGGGCCCTACAGAGAGACAAAGAAGTGGAACTTCACAGGAGCTGCACACAGAGCTCAGTGTTGGGAATGGGCAGGGTCCAGAGAGGAGGAAGGGAAAGGAATGCTGTCATGATGGAATGGCAAGTGTTGTGGGCTTTTCCATTGTGCCTTGAGCAGGGGGAAAATTCCCTCTGGAGAGTTGGGAGGTTCAAGCACTGGAATGACCCCAGCACTCCCTGTTGCCCAGGCTGGTGGGCCATCTTCTTCCCCAGGGTCACATGGCTCCTCAGGGCCCCCCAGAGTGCAGGCACCTACTTTGTCGACACCCATCTTCTTGAAAGCTGCTTGCAGCACCTTGAAGTTGTGGATGTATTCATGCTCTAGCTTGGCCTGGAACTTCACTTTCCTCAAGTGCACGCAGCCGGGGAAGAGCATGTCCATGAACTGGCAGTAGGCTGCCCCTGTGGAGAAGGGCGCTGGCTGAGGGGCTCACTGATCTCCTGGGGCTGCTCTCTCTCACTTCCCCAAACCCTGTCTCCTCTTCTCTTTCCTTGTTCTGGGGCTGGGGCCATTCCTGCTTTCAGGATAGACATGGCCAGAATCCCCCCAGCTTTCCAAGAATAGCAGCAGTGACTATTTATTGATGCATATTACGAACCAGCACTATACCAAACACTGCATGTAGATAGGGCAATCCCAACGGCAACTCTAGTTAGTTGGTGATATTATCTCCATCTTATGGATGGGAAAACTGAGGCCTAGGGCAGTATATAGTGACTTGCCCAGGGTTGCACCACCAGAAGAAGAGCTGAGAGTTGGACCCAGAGAGGCGAGGTCAGACCTCTGGCTCTCTTGCCGTCCTGGCGCTCAGCTCCCCGCTCCTCCTCTCCCTGCAGTCCTTCTCGCTGCCTCTCCTGCTCTTCTCTTTCCTTGCTCTCATTTCCTGACTTCAGCTCCAGCCAGTCTGGCTAGTTCAGGGCCTCCAGCTCTCTGCCTTAGTCTAATCACAAGCTACAGTCATGGGCTGCCTAACAACGGTGTGGTCAATGATGGATCACATATATGATGGTGGTCCCATAGGATTATAATGCCATATTTTTATTGTACCTTTTCTGTGTTTAGATATGTTTAGATGTGCAAATACTTAGCATGTGTTAAAACTGTTTGCGGTATTTAGTACAGAAACATGCTGTCCCGGTTTTTACCTAGGAGCAGTAGGTATACCACACAGCTGAGATGTGTACAGGCTACACCATCCAGGTTTGTGTAAATACACTCTGTGATGTTCACACATCGCCTGAGGATGCATTCCTCTGGGCACATCCCCATCATTCAGCCACGCATGACTGTATATTCCCTGCTGTGGCTGCTCTGCCTTCTGGCCTTTCTTTCCTTCCAGCAGGGCCACTTCCTGTATTCCCAGCCTCCTACCTGAACAGAGCTGTTCTATCTTGGTGTAGTTGAGGTGCAAGGAGTCGTTGACCCACGCAAGCATATCATGGCGACTCAGATTTTCACTGGTCACAGATGTGGAGTACACATTGACGGCCATACCCCAGCTGAAAAGGAGAAAGGTGAGGTAAGCACTGGGGCCTCATGCAGCTCCTTAGCTATCAGGAGAGAAGGGGTGTATGATACTGGGAAGTAAGAAATATTCCCTCCAGATTGGCCTTGCATTTTACCCCCAGAGGAGGGGTCTTTAGACATTTAATGAGCATCTACTATAATGCTAGACATGTGCCAGGAGCCAGCAATTCAAAGTTAATTAAGATATGGCCTCTGCTGGCTGGCGGCGGTAGCTCATGCCTGTAATCCCAGCACTTTGGGAGGCTGAAGTGGGCAGATCATGAGGTCAGGAGATCAAGACTATCCTGGCCATCATGGTGAAACCTCGTCTCTACTAAAAATATAAAAATTAGCTGGGTGTAGTGGTGCTCACCTGTAGTCCCAGATACTTGGGAGGCTGAGGCAGGAGAATTGCTGGAACCGAGGAGGTAGAGGTTGCAGTGAGCCAAGATTGTGCCACTGCACTCCAGCCTGCAGCCTGGTGACAGAGCAAGACTGTCTCAAAAAAAAAAAAAAAAAAAAGATATGGCCTCTGCCTTGAGGCATTTACAGACAGGCAGATCCCCTCAGTAGGGAGTGATGGGGCAGTGAAACAGGCACATAAACGTTCAGGAACAGCACAAAGAAGGGCGTGAGTGCATCTGCTGGGCAGGGTCAGCGAAGGGTTTAGAGCAGAGATGTTGGAGCCTGAAAGGAATAGGAATTTTCCAGACATAAAAAGGGATGGGTGGAAGGCATTCGGGCACAGGGACTAGCAAGAACAAAGGCAGAGCTTATTCCAGGCACTCTGAGTTGTGGAGCAGGCCCAGGGAGCAGATTTTTCTGTTGGGGCGTGGCACAATGAGGTTGGCAGGGACAGGTTGCCAAGGCCTTAGGAGGAGGAATCTGGACTTTCTATTTGGAAGCCATTAGAGGACTTTAAGCAGACAGTAACCTGACCAGATTTGTGTTTTAGAAAGCCAGCTAACCTTTGCCTCTGCTCTGAATTCAGACTCCATATTCCTGTGGCTGATGCAGAGGTACCTAAATTCTCCTTGTCCACACCTTCCCTTAGAACATGTTTCTGGCTCCTATGTTCATTATCTCAGTGAATGTCACCACCAGCTATCAGTTACCACCTTAGAAGCCTGTGGGGTCATCCTAGACAGCCTCCTCTCCCTCATGCTCCTACCAAGTCACTCCTCAAGTCCTGGAACCTCACCTCCTCAACCCACCCTGTTCTGCTTACCCTCAGGATTTAGGCATACCACTGTCCCTTGGTATTCATGAGGGAATTTGTTCCAGAACATCCCCCTATACCCAAATCAATGCATAGTCAAGTCCCTTATGTAAAATGATGTAGTATTTACAGATATCCTCCTGTATGATTTAAATCACCTCTAGACTACTCATAAGCCTGATACCTACTACCACGTCACTGTGATGTAAATAGTTGTTACACTGTATTGTTTAGGGAATCATGACATGAAAAAAGAGTCTGTAGGTGTTCAGTACAGATGCAACAATCCATTTTTCTTTCCTGAATATTTTTTATCGATATTTGATTGAATCCACAGATCTGGAACCCATGGATATGGAGGGCTGGCTGTATTTTCTCTCTAGCACAGGCTAGCAGGAGCCTCCTAAAACGCCTTCCAGCCTCCAGTCTCTCCTTCCTCCTAATCTGTCCTTGACACTGTGTTGTCAGAATCTACCTAAAAGCAGGTCTGACCACCCCCCTCCCAGCTTCAAGTCCTTTCAGCCAGCAGTCATGAAAGACACACCCATCGGCTGAATTTGCCTTGCAGACTTAAACTGTTAAGCACTTGTAGTGTTAGAAACATTTTTGAATTAGTGCCCAATATATTAAAGTTGAGATGTTTAATAACGGGATTTCTGGCTTCTTTTGGCCACTCAGCCTGTGCTCCCACACTGAAACCAGCAGTTGGAGTGGAGCCAGCAGTGAGCCTCCTTCCCACCCCACAGAGGCCAGGGGTCAGCTGCTGCTGATCACTGACTTGCGTTGTTAAGAAAAGGAGGACATATTTCTTGTAACCAGGACTTTATCAGAAATGGAGAAACAAGATAGATCAAAAGAACTGTGTTTTCCGAATTGTGAGAACATGTGTTTCTGGAGTGAGTGAAGAATATTTCTCCAGGTTTAATATGTAAAGTGTCTCTGTGAAATAAGAATACATCTTATGTACCTTATATTCTTACAGGAAGAATATTTCCCTGTTTGTTGCAGGCATCTGCTGTTAACACGTGACTCCTCCTGACCACTTATCAAATCATAATGGGACCCCACTCTGCAGCCTTATCTCCCACTTTGCTTCCCCAGTTAGGAGCCATGGGCAGCTTCCTACTCACCCTCTGTCTGGAATGCTGTCCCTCCCACAAAGTTTATTCATCCTCTGCTCCATGGTTCTCAATTGTGGCCCCTGGACCTGCAGCACTGGGGCTATATGGGGATCAGCTGGTTAGAAATTGCAATTCTCTCGCCTTCCCTGAGACCTACTGAATGCGAAACTGCCTCTGACCAAGATGCCCGGAGGATCTGCAGGCACCGCCCCATTTGAGCAGCACTACTTTACAGAGGGAGACTCAGCAAGGCATCTGCAGAGCTGTGTACCCTCATGTTCCTACCCCTGACCCCAAGCACATAGGATGGAGCATATTTAACTTAAATGAATGCTTCGAAGAAAAGTCATGAGAGAAAACCCTCTTCTTTATTCCTAGTTCTTCTTCCTTTGAAAAATAAACCTTGTTCTTCCTTGCCCAGGCAAAGGGAGGCCAGGTGGGGTCAAAAAGCCAAGAGAAACAGAAATGAGTTATTGTCTTGGGAGCTTCTAAAGACTCAGGACCTGGCAGATTCAGAGATTTCTGAGAGTAATGTTGACTGCACTTGAGTCTCCTCCTACACAGCGGCTCTGTGCCCACTGCCCTGCATCTTGGCCCTTGCGCTCACCACTGGACTTGTTCAAATGCCTTCATCCCACATTGGAAGTGCTTTGAAGCCAAGAGTGGGGTATCCAGGTCTGTCATAGGCAAGACGTTCAGTAACGTTGTTGAACTATTGAGTGATACCTCATGTCCTCTCCTCTTTCTGAATCGTGTTTCATCACCTTCCAGCCTGGGTTCCACCCCCCCACCCCCACCCCAACACCCCACTGGCACTCAGTCTCAGGACTCTGCTTTAGCTCCAGGAGACTTTCTCTGACCCCCGCTCTGCAGGAGGCATGTGCCCACTATCCTACAGCACGCTGGGCACAGCTCTTCATGGCATCCTGCACAGTCTCTTAAAATCATGTGTGAGGCTAGGTGTGGTTTCTCATGCCTGTAATCCCAGCGTTTTGGGAAGCCGAGGTGGGCCAATTACTTGAGACCAGGAGTTCAGGACCAACCAGGCCAACATGGTGAAATCCCATCTCTACTAAAAATACAAAAATTAGCCAGGCATGTAATCCTGGCTACTAGGGAGGCTGAGGGAGGAGAATTGCTTGAACCTGGGAGGTAGAGGTTGCAGTGGGCCAAGATTGTGCCACTGCATTCCAACCTGGGTGACAGAGCCAGACTCTGTCTCCAAAAAAAATAAATCATGTGTGTGGCTGCCCCTTCCACCTGACTGTAAGCTCTTCAATGGGCAAGCTGTGTTCCATTCACGTTCAGCTTCCACACCAGTTCTCGGTGAATAATAACTGCCTAACCATATTGGTGGAGTGGAATTGCAGCCTTCATTTGATATGCATACTTAGCTGGGATTTACCGGCTTCTGTTGCAATAGCAAAGGCTGCAACGTTGGGACATTCTGCCACTTCTCTTGGGGGGAAAATGCTAGCCAGTCCTTGGTATGCAGGGAAAATATCCAGTTTCCCTGGAGTTTAAAACACAACTAAAGGCCTTGCTTTTAGGGCTCCCAAGAGTCACTAAGACCACATAGCTACTTGAAAAATGCCCAGGTCTTCTCAGCATGGCCAGAAATTCCCAGGGTGGTCAATGCCTGATGATGGAAGGGCATGTTCTATACCTTTGGTCTAATTCTGGGGTCCCACGAGTGGCAGCAGCGCCTGTGAGAAGGAAGTTGGAAAAAATGGCTCCTTGCAGGGCCCAGCAATGAATCATGCTGTTACCCACTATGGGGCTTCTGGGGAAGGGGGTAGCTAGTAGCAGGAACAGAAGCCTCAGTCCTCACTCAGGACTCAACTCAGGTCCTCTCAACTGGTGCTACTCTCTGCCCTGGGGGGGGAGGGTCCATTCGACTCAGGAGGACTCATCCAGGGCACCAAGGGGTCTCTACAGGATTCCTCTGCTTCATTTGCTAGAGCAGCATGAGGAAACAGCCTCCTGGTTTCCTTATGCCTCATTACACTGGGGAGGGCAGGATGCCCTTTTAATTTTCCTCTCCTGGCTTTAACTCTGTAAATGGAACTAAACATGGCCAGCAGGTGGCACCCAGGTCCTGAGCAAAAACTCCTTTAAATGTATCCCCCCATCCCCCAGCGCTCCTTTCCAGAGCTCAATTTAGAGCTCAAATTGGGAGCCTCTAAGAGCTGGGCTATCTGTGGGGCAAGGAGCATTGGGGCTGTTCGAGCATTGGGGCTGTTCTAAGATCCTGGACTAAACTGAGCCAGCCTCCCTATCTCCCAAAACCACAGTTTGAACTCACCAAACAGGTCCAACTTCTGACTGCCTTTTGCGTTGGGGGTTGACTTCGGCCTGGACTCACACCAGACCAGCTGCTGGAAGCAGAGGTATATAAAGTATTTGCCCACGCATCGGGCTCTAAGTGGACCAGCTGCCTCCAATTATAGCAAATCGTAGCCTGAGGAAACTCTTATAACACACTCGTTCCCAAGAGCTCCTTCACCTCCTGGGAGAGAATGGTAGGTAACCACTAGGAGGGGGCAGGCAGCCTCTGTCTGTCCCAAGAGATGCAGGAGCAGTGCCTTCCAACCTCATCCACATTTTTCTGCCATGATCTTTGGCACATGTGACTGTCAGGAGAAACAGACCCTGCCTGGATTGTGGCATGTCATCATCCAGGCAGATCCCCATTCGAGGATCAGACTGACAACGTGGCCTTGGGAAAAGCCTGTTCTGTAGGGCCTTGACTCCTGCTATCAGGAATGGAGTCAAGGAAAAGAATAGTTGAGGAGGTTTAATCTGGTGATTTTGCTGAGTCACTTCTTATACTAGGACTATAAGGTTCAAGGTGCATTAACAGGCAACAGGGAAAGGCAATTACAGCTCTCACTGCTGGAGGGGAAGCTGCTGGTCATTCTGCAGACTAAGGCTTTAAAAATGATCATCAAGACCAAATCCCAGTAACCTGTGGTCAGAGGGGTTTCTAGAGACCATCTGCTTCCTTCTCAGGTAATTAGGACTGGACTTAGATCTAGGCACTTATATTCTTAATTCATAAAGACGGCTAATAAGTCTGTACAACTGAAATTTCACATTCTATTACTTAATGACCTTATCACCAGCCTAAACTAATTTTGGCTTTTTGATTTTACATCTATCTTCCACAAATATGTCTTGAAGGTCATTTAGGGGCACTCAGTCTTCTCTAATTATCTAGAGCTCCTTTTACCCCAAGTTTAGCCCTGTTCTGGCTGGTCCCTGGAAGAACTTCCTGCAGTTGCCAGACCTTCACCCTCTGCCCAATGTGGGTAAGAAAGACACATCAGGTCTACCAGTCCTACAGGAGGTGGCCAGCATACCTCCAGCAAGCTCCAAAATGGTAGTGCTTAAGAACACTGGATCTCCAGGCACATCACGTGGGTTCAAATCCTAGATGTGTACCGTGTCCAAGATGTCTGACTTGACTTTAGGTCTCAGTTTCCTCATCTATAAAATGGGAACAGTGACAGTTCCCACCTCATAGAACAGTTATGAGGATTAAGTGAGCCATGGGTACACCAAGGTAAGCACAGAGCCTGACATTCAATACGTATTTGGCAAGTACTGTCAGCATCGCGGGGACAGACAGTGAAAATCTAAGGGCATTTGTTAGAGAAGTACGTGCCTGACACACAGCCAGCCTCTGGTCTCTGCGACCATGGAATGGCCAACCCAGAAGGGAGACAGACTACAGAACTTTTCTCTGCCACTTTGCCTACAGACAGCCACCTGGGTTTCCCAAAGCAGGGCTCTGACCACAATCCCTCCTAAGCTCCAGATTTCCCATACATCCTGCTTTGTAGATGCCATCCTACCGGCCAAGACAACTGGAACAGATGCTGTGGGATCAGAGGAGAGAGAACTCTGCAGAGCCAGCCAACACGTTTCCTGTTCCTGAAGTGGGGCTATGCCCATTGTCACTGGGCTACCTCTTCCTGCCCAGGCCCAAGGGGCTGAAGTCACCTGTTTGGAAAATCTACAAAATTGTTACCCCTACCCCCGTGAGTCACACACCCAGGTTATTCTGGGCTTGCATGGAGGCAGTATGTGCAGGTGGGGCTGAGGGGTTCTGAGGGGCTGGGGAGCCAGTCAGCGGGTCACAAAGCTCTGGCAGACCCAGCCAATCACCTTCTTTTTATGGCTGAGCAAAGACCTGACTCATCCAGAGGCTCAGCCTCTCAAAACTGGATTAGTCAATGCAGAGACGGGGCAAGTGGAGTAGTTGCAAGGTTGGCCAGGAGCCCAGCATGCACCCCCTCTCAATAGATCCAGGTCAGGGATCCAGACGGCTGTGGGTTCAGGTAGGGACTGAAGCTTCTCCAGGATTCTGTTCTCACAACACTTTTAGGTCATAACTCTAAGATCCTGAGCCCTGCTGAAGTTCCAGCCACTGGGTCCCAGACATGTCCTGCTGAGTAATGATCTGAACTCTTACCAAGGCTTTCCCCAGGCTGGATGGGATAATGGTGCTACACCCTGCAGCTGCTGGCCAGGAGGAGTCCTTAGGGGCAGTTCTGGCTAGGTTACTCTATCTGACCATAACTCCGAGGGTTAATGGAAACCCTGGAGTGTAGTAAACAACTTCTCATTGCTAAAACCAATCCATTTTAGTAGGGTTCATCTAGGTGGGCAGATAGAAAGGCAATCCTTTCTTTCTAAAGTTTTTTGTTGGAGATCTTTCAGTTCCTCAAACACCTACTGTTTAGGTCAACAAATGTCTATGGAGTCACCAATCAATCCAAGGCTCCCAGCAGAGGGCACACAGTGTGGCTTGGTTGCAGGCTTTGCCATTCGCTGCCTGTGAGACACTAGCAAGCAGGCGAAGGTTTCCGAGCCTCAGTTTTCATGTGTGAAGCCTCAGAATGATGGTACAATTGAGCAAGGGGCTGTTGGAAGGATAATGAGAAAACTGCTGGTGGGAGCCAAAGGTTCACCATCATCCTGCCTTTGGGGCTGAGCAACCTTTACTGACGGGCAAGATCACTGACATTGACATATATATGACTCATTGTCTTCTTTCCTGCACCCTGACCAAACTCCCACAATCCCTCTTGTCCGGGTCCTAGGCAGGGAGAGAGGAGGGACAGGCTTGATTATCCATTCTCCGCTGCCTCAGGCAGAAATACAGAGCTGTGCTTTTGGAGCTACTTTGCTCATTTCTTTCCTCAATTAGTACTGGCTCAGGGCTCAGTGCACAATAGCTGCTCAGTACCTATATATTGAATGAATGAATGGGAGAGGTTAAACTAGGGTTTGGGGGGTTCAGATGGCAGGTGGGCTCAGAAAGGATGGTTTTCCAGTCTCATTTCTTTTTTCTTTTTTGAGACAGAGTCTCCCTCTGTCACCCAGGCTGGAGTGCAGTAGCATGATCTTGACTCACTGCAACCTCCGCCTCCCAGGCTCAAGCGATTCTCCTGCCTCAGTCTCCTGGGTAGCTGGGATTACAGGCACCCACCATCATGCCCAGCTAATTTTTGTATTTTTAGTAAAGTTGGGGTTTCATCACCGTGTCGGTCAGGCTGGTCTTGAACTCCTCCTTGGCCTCCCAAAGTGCTGGGATTACAGGCATGAACCACTGTGCCTGGCCTGGTCTCGTTTCTCGTTTGTTGACCCTGAGGAGGTGCTGTTGGCTACATGGAGAAGGAGAGAGAGGAGAATGCTAGCTGCACTCCTGGCTACATGCAAACAGATGCAGCAAGAAGCCTTAGAAACCATGGCAAGGGATTTTTAAACCATCTTCCTCTGATGCATATAATATGGTGCTGCTGGACTTCCCATGGTGTTAGGATGGTTCCGAGAGTGGAACCTGGTAACTACTGGGAGTACCTCTCTGCCTGGTGTGCTCTGGGGGTGGGCTGCTGGTCCATCTTCAGCTAGCCTCAGGATAGAGAGGGCAGGGAGCTACAGCAGCTGCCATGATGTGTTGGGAAGGGAACTGTCATGTTTGCAGCAGCCCTGGTGGATCTGATGTTTTCTTAATGGTCCTTCAAGCTCCAAAAGCACACCCATGTCTCTAGGGAGACATACAAGCCATGTCACTTTATGTTCCTTTGGAACAACGTCTCTTTGGACCATCTGGCTTGTAGTTGTTGTCCAGGGCCAAGTGATGTGTTCTCACCCTTCTGTGAAATGTCTTCATCGTGTGAATTGTTTAGCTTACTTTCCCCTTCCCCCAGGCTCAGGCCCTTCTTCTCTGCTCTCACCCTACCTTCCACCCTGCATCCAGTTCCCTCTCAAAATCCTCCCAGTTTTACTTCTGTGCCCTTTTGACAGGGAACAGTCGTTTATACTTTAACCTTTCCACCAGAGGTTGCCCTGAAGATGTCCAGAACAAACTAAGATTCAGTTTGAACTCTCTGTGCTCTCTCCAGGAGACTGCCATTCCCCATGCCCTCAGACTCTATCCTACCTGCCTGTCCTGCAGAGCTAACCCCACATAGAGACAGTCAGCCCCCACCGGAGAGGGGATATGCACTGGAGAGCTTCTCTCCTGGCCTACCATGGTGCCTGAAATTCCCACCAGAAATGTCACTCTTGAAGATTACAGCATCCAGCTCCAGAAAGCCTTAGTTATTGCCTCAATTTTGTATATGAGGAAACAATGGCTGAGGATTCCAGTGACTTTTCCAAGTTGAAGATCAACCACTGGCAAGATCAGAGCTGAACCTAGCCAACTGAACCCAAATCCCATGCTCTTTCCACACCACCACACTGGGGCAGGAAGGACAACTTGATTTTACACAGCTTTAGAGCAGGATGACTTGCTTAGATTTTGCCCCCTGAGAATTAGGAGGAGGGAAAGGGAATTTCAGAGGCTTTTTCTTTTTTTTTTTCTTTTGAGATAGAGTCTTGCTCTGTTGCCTAGGCTGGAGTGCAGTGGTACAATGTTGGCTTACTGCAACCTCCGCCTCCCAGGTTCAAGCAATTCTCCTGCCTCAGCCTCCCAAGTATCTGGATTACAGGTTCCCACCAGCATGCTTGGCTAAATTTTGTATTCTTCGTAGAGATGGGGTTTCACCATGTTGGCCAGGCTGGTCTCAAACTCTTGACCCTGTGATCTGTTTGCCTCGGCCTCCCAAAGTGCTGGGATTACAACAGGTGTGAGCCACCGTGCCCGGTCTGGTTTTCTTCTTTATATTTATTTTTTCAAGACATTGCAGCATTGCCTTAACCTCTCTCTCTCTCTTTTTTTTTTTTTTTGAGACAGAGTCTCTCTCTGTTGCCCAGGCTGGAGTGTAGTGGCGCAATCTCAGTTCACTGCAACCTCCACCTCCCTGGTTAAAGCAATCCTCCTGCCTCACCTCAGCCTCCCGAGTAGCTGGGCTTACATGTGTGCACCACCACACCCAACTAATTTTTGTATTCTTAATAGAGATGGGGTTTCACCATGTTGGTCAGGCTGGTCTCAAACTCCTGACCTCAAGTGATCCACCTGCCTCAGCCTCACAAAGTGCTAGGATTATAAGCCTGAGCCACCAGGCCTGGCCTAGCATTGCCTTAGTCTCTCTCAACCAGCAAGTGCTTACTGACCACTGACAAAATGTGCTAAACACCCAGTGAGGCATCATGAGACATGGGATCATTTCAAGGCATCGGTCTTGTCTTTATTAAGGAGCCTTTTTTTGGTTGAAGAGGTAAAAGTAATTCCTAAAATAACAAGGGATGCCACCAAGCAGAATATATGAAGTGTTAAATAGTGAAAGCACATTTGGCTTTTAAGTGCTCCAGGCACATGAAAAAGATGAGAGGGGGATCAGCAGTTAGAGGGTTTCTCAAGGAAGGTGGCACCTAATTGGGCCTTTGAAGATGACTGGATGGCAGAAAGCAGCCAAGAGAAAAAGGGAAATTCTGGACATGGGAAGCATGTTTATTATTACTTTTCATTTTTAAAAAGAGCATAAGACCAGTGGCTCAATCCTGGAGGAATGTTAGGGACACAATGAAAATAGAGAAGGTGGGGAGGAAGGTGATGTCTCAGGAGCCAAGGGAGGGCCCAGTTTCAAAGAGGAGGTCACCTGCCCTGTTTAATGAGGCCATCAGACCTGAGGTGGGGATATGGTCATTAGATTGTGCAATAAGAAATGATTAAACTCTGAGTCATTTTGTTGAATTGTGGAGACAGAAGCTAGACCTGCAGATGATTGTGGAATCCTCAACCACTTGCCCAGGAGGAAGATGGAGAGGGATATTAGGCATTTGTCATCAGCCATGTGTGTCTGCCATAGCACTTCAGGTAGATAGTGAGTGACTGCCTGCAGAGTGGAGAGCATCTTGGTTCTTTCGGTTAGAATTTGAAATGAAATATAGATTAAAAGTAGGCTTGTAATCCCTGTCTCAACATCCCACCCATCCCCCTTCAGATTCCATAACCTACCCTCAAGTTATAGATGTTATTTGTTCAAGAAGACCCATGAGTGCAACTCACCATCTTCCTCCAGCTACTTACAACACTGTGTCACAAATGAAAAGCAAGATAGGAAATATGTTTATATAATAAAGTCTTAACTAAGTTGAATATTTAGAAAAAAAGTTGTACATATTAATTAACTTTGTTTAACCGTGTTTAATCAGAGCACTTTTTAATGTTTGGCTTTGTGGGAAATTACTGCCTTAAGACGGGAAGAATAGACAAAACTGCTTTCTAAGGATACTGCAGAGCCTCAGATTCAGTCACTCACCCATCACCATTTATGGAGTGTGTGCCAGCCCCTGTGCCAGCACAGGACCCATAGGAAGAAATAAACCCACTCTGGGCCCTCGAGAAATTCCTGAACTTAGGTGAGAGCTAGACAAGTGAATGAAATAACCAAAGGGCAACACATTACTCTCCAGCTCCAGATACAGGAGCTGTTGGAGCAATCTGCTTCCTGGGTCAGGGAAAGCTTTGTAAAGGAAGCATAGTTTGAACTGGGTCTTGAAGGAGAAACTCAACAGGCAGATAAGAGTCAAGAGGAAAGGGGAATGCATGGGGAGGAGGGAAAGGACTGCAAGTAGTTCATCTAAGAGTAATGTTGGGGCAGAAGGAGAGGCTGTTAAAAAGGCAGATGGGGGCCGGGCACAGTGGCTCATGCCTGTAATCCCAGCACTTTGGGAGGCCAAGGTGGGCGGATCATGAGATCAAGAGATCGAGACCATCCCGGCCAACATGGTGAAACCCTGTCTCTACTAAAAATACAAAAATTAGCTGGGCATAGTGATGCATACCTGTAATCCAGCTACTCGGGAGGCTGAGGCAGGAGAATCGTTTGAACCCGGGAGGTGGAGGTTGCAGTGAGCCAAGATTGTGCCACTGTACAGAGTGCACTCTGTCTCAAAAAAAAAAAAAAAAAGGCAGATGGAAGCCACATCACCAGGAGCTCTGTACACCATGGTTAAGAAGTTATTTTATCTGGAAGGGAAACTCATCAAAGGATTTTCTTTTCAGGTATACAGTATTTTAGTCAACAATACAAAATGTTGCTAATACTATAGTTAAAATAATTTCCAAATAAAAATTATAACATGAAATTACAGTGCTTAGAAAATGCATTCAATTTATAATTCTGCTTAGGCTTTCTTTTACATAATCTTTTCTAGTAAAAACTGAAGAGATTCCCAAGGCAGTCCCTCCAATTTTCTGTAAACTTTTTACTTTGAAATGATTTTAGACTCACAGTTACAAAACAGAACAAATAATTCCCATGTATTTCATGTCTCCTCATCCAGCTTCCCCCAGTAACATGTTACATAGCAATTATCGAAACCAGGAAATCCACACTGGCACATTTTTAAGTAAACTACAAACCTTATTTGGGTTTCATCAGTTTTTACATGCACTATTTTTCTGGCATATACTCCACAAAATTTTATCACATGCACGGATTCATGTAATCACTACCCTACAGAATACAGACCTGTTCTATAATCTCAAAGAAACTCCCTCATGCTATCCCTTTATAGCTGTGCCCTCCCCAACCCTAACTTCTGGCCACCACAGATCTGTTCTTCATCACTCTATAATTTTGTCAATATTATATACGTGGATCATACAGTAACCTTTTGAGACTGGCTTACTTTCTTCTCAGAATAGTGCCTTTGACCTCCATCCAAGTTGTTGCATGGATTAATGGTTCCTCTTTATTGCTGAGTAGTATTCCAAACAATGGCACACATATGAATGTACCACAGTTTACACATTCACCCACTGAGGACATCAGGGTTGTTTCCAGTTTTTGGTGATTACAAATACAACCTATGAGAACTTTCCTCAGTCTTCTCTTGCTTTGTCCATGAAGGTCTGGATCTGGAAGAGATTGTCTCTTCAAACCTTTCTGTCTTCAGGAACTGCGAATCTGCTTGGGGTTTGTAGTTGGAAGGCCCAGGCATGTGCTTAGGGCAGGAGGAGTTAAACATAAGGTACACAAGCAACTCTCTGGGCTGACTGTCCCCAGAATTATGGCTTTGTCTCAGTTTAAACCTAAGCCTGTTCTCCTGCTTCAGAAGATTCCTGCTTCTTTTTCCCTCCAAAAAATGCAAATTCAGATTTTCTTCTTCTTTTTAAAACAAATTTCATAACTTTAATTTTTATTTATTTTTGAGGCGAAGGAAGTCTCACTATGTTTCCCAGACTGGTTTTGAACTCCTGGGCTCAAGCAATCATTCTCCTTAGCCTTCCAAGTAGCTGGGATTACAGGTGAGTGCCACTGTGCCCAGCCTAGAAGACTCTTGCTTCTTAAATGCATTTATACTATCACTCAACTTTGTGACCTTATTTTTCTAGATGCCATAATTTCACAAAGGATAATTTAGAATTATAGTCACCAGTCAAGAAACATTTGATGAACAAAATTGTTTGAGAGGCACTTTAGAACAGAAAGAAGACAAAGTTTCAAACATCCAATTGTTTGTAGGATTATTGGGGCTGAATCTATAAAGATTCAGAATGATCCATCTACATTTCTACCCAAACTTGCACAGTACCTTCTAAACCAGAGCTAAAGAAGGACTGAGATAGTCAAAAGCATGACAGAGAAAGGACTCATCATATTTTGAACAAGTCCTTGTGACATCCTTACCCTCCCAGTCAAAAAACCCAATAGGTGGGGACAAAGATTTGCTCAGGACCTTGAGACCATAAAATAGAAAAGTCATTCTCTGAGCAGAATCAAATACTCCTTTATCTCCAGTGCCTCCTACAGCTGCGTATTTTACAGTTGTAGATATGTATTTCACTTTTTTTTAGTATTCCTTTAGATCAAAATAGGCAGTATTTGTTTGGCGTCTCCTGTGAACATTAACAGTATACTTGGATCAATGCAACAATAAGAGATCTTAATACCCAGATACATAAGACCCATAACGAGATTTAGACTCAACGAGACAGAAAATTAATAAGGATATCCAGGACTTCAACTCAGATCCAGAACAAGTAAACTCAATAAATATTTATAGAGTTCTCCATTTTAAATATACAAAATATTGATCGGCCATTATTAATACCCATTTTTAGAATGAAGCAATATTCCTGTTCTCTCTCCCTCTTTTTCTTCCTCTTTCTTCCTCTCCTTCTCTCCTTTTTTACTTTTCAACATCCTAGTTCCTCACCTCTACTCAATACATTCCTCTGAACACCTGATTCCTTGTGATTCTCCCATCCCACTGAAACCTCCAAAAAAAAAAAGAAAAAAAACAGTATACTTGGACTGTGATGCCCCAAAGATTAACAGAGGCCTCCTCAGAACTTTTCACAAGCCCTGAACCACAACCTCAAGGACCTTAAATATCCCTGTTATTCTACTCTTGTTTGACATGTGGGTGACTTTTGTCATGTTCTAAAGATAAGCTCCAAGACTGTTCCAGCTATCTACTGTTTTCTTTCAGAAAGGGCATAAGGTTTGCAGAGAGAAACTATAATTTTGTCAAAGTAAAGTTCATTATGCAGAACATTATTTATCCTAGGGCAGTAAATCCTTTACTTCTGACAGACCATAGGCCGTTCAAAACTTTCCCAATTACTCCTAAGAGTCAATTAAGAAGAATCCTGGCTAATGTGGGTAGCGGGTTTATAACTTTTCTAAAATCATTGCACAGATAACTTAACCAAGTCCAAACTAAACATGAAGAGGCCTTTTGTGAGGTAAATTAGCCCTTCAACAACCTGCCACTCTGGGCTTTCTACCTATTTGTACATGCGAGATACAGACGAAACTTTGGGGTTATGACTCAACTTCATAGTGAAGGGAAACCAGAATATGTCACCCTGAAATATGCCTGTTGACATAAAAATTATTTCTGAGCTAAAAGTAGTTGAAGAGTAGCAAATAGAGGATGAGCTCTATTTTCCTGCTTTTCTGCTTAAAGACAGGATATAAATTCTTCCTTATTGGAGATATCATCAGCCCAGACAAGGCACCAGAGGAATCTGCAAACAAACCCTACTCCATTGGCTTCTTCCCATGTTATCTACCTTCCCATAGTTTCCCCCTTTTGGATGCCTAAAATTGCTTTCTTTTGTCCTGTCATTTCTCTACAAATGTATTGTTCTTTTTTGAAGATGGCATATAAACCAGAGTTTGAAGCCACTGCCTTGAGTTGCCTTTCATTGAGGTTTCTCCTGGATTCTGTGCCCTTAATGCATTAATAAACTTGTCTGGCTAGGGGTGGTGGCTTATGCTTGTAATCTCAGTGCTTTGGGAGTCTGGGGTGTGAGGACGGCTTGAGGTCAGGAGTTCAAGACCAGCCTGGGCAACATAACATAACCCTGCCTCTGCAAAAAATAAAATAAAATAGTGGGTTGTGGTGGCACACGCCTATAATCCCAGCTTCTTGGGAGGCTGAGGAGGGAGGACTCCTTGAGCCCAGGAGTTCGAGGCTTCAGTGAGCTGTGATCATGCCATGGCACTCCAGCCTGGGTGCAAAGTGAGAGCCTGACTCTGAAGAGAAAAACAAAAACAAAATAAAAAAACTTTGCCTGTTTTTCTTTTGCTGATCTGTCTTTTGTTACAGGGATCTGTCTCAACTATGAACTTATAAAGGTTGAGAAGAAATTACATTTCCTCCCCATTAATGGGAATCATCAGATATCCATAGTCTACTAAGTCTCTTTTCACCCAATGGCAAAGCCTACTCGTCTTGTCTAACAGCCACAGCAGCTAATGGAGGCTTCCACACAGTTGGTTTTAAGGTCTCTTTTAAATTTGATGGTCCTCCATGCTGTACAATAATTGTTGCTCACACAAAATACACACTTCTCAGCAAGTACACTTACCACCAATGAAATCCTATTACTTTCTCCCTCACCTATTTCTACTTATTGTAATAATACTTTGAATCCTGCCACCCTCCCTTTAGATGTTATATTCTCAATGAGGCCATTTGGCCCATTGATTCTGCCCTAGGAGGAAGAGACTGTCAGATAACTTAATTCAAGAAAAAGGAAAACTGTGCCTTAATTTAGGAACCAAAACCCTAACCACTCAAGGGGTCTTCAGTGTTGCTTTCTTTCCTTCTCAAGCCTTTGGCGTTCATGCTTTGCAAGAGGCCTGGGAAGTAGGGAGAATCCTACAAATGTGGGATTTCTTTTGTCCTGTCATTTGCCCTGTCATAGGGTTTGTTGCAGAACACTGCGGGACGTGAGAGCGAGAGGTCAAAGATGACCCCAAAGTTTCTTGTCCAAGCCACCTGAAGGATGGAGGAAACTGCAGGAAGAGCACGTTTGAGAGTAAGGTGAAGACCACGAGCTCACTTAAGATGATGCTGGGGACACTTCAAAGAACAATTAAGGATATTAAGAAGCATCATGTTCCATGGGCATAATATTCCATGCTATTATTACATTACCTCTAGCTGTTGTACATTTTGATTTTTGATATTCCTCAAATATATGTGAACATTCAATTTTTGTCTAAATCTATGACTACTTCCTTGGGCAGGGAATTATTGGGTCAAAAGGCATATATATATATATATATATATATGTATAAAATTTTATTTTTATTTATTTATTTATTTTGAGATAGAGTCTCGCTGTCGCCTAGGCTGGAGTGCAATGGCACAATCTCGGCTCATTGCAACCTCCGCCTCCTGGATTCAAGTGATTCTCCTGCCTCAGCCTCTCGAATAGCTGGGATTACAGGTGCCCACCACCACGCCCGGCTAATAGTTTTGCATTTTTAGTAGAGACAAGGTTTCACTATGCTGGCCAGACTGATCTCGAACTCGACTTTGTTATCTGCCTGCCTTGGCCTCCCAAGTGCTGGTATTACTGTGCCCAACCAAAGGGCATAATATATTTTTTAAGAACTAACAGCTTCCAAAAAGGCTGTCCCTTTCATTTCTTCCCCAGAAGTTTATGAGTGCTCATTTCAACACACGTTCACCAACACTGTTACCATTTAAAAAGTGTGTTGGCCGGGCATGGTGGCTCACGCCTATAATCCCAGCACTTTGGGAAGCCAAGGTGGGTGGATCACGAGGTCAACCCTGTCTCTACTAAAAATACAGAAAGTTAGCCAGGCATGGTGGCGCATGCCTATAGTCCCAGCTACCTGGGAGGCTGAGGCCGGAGAACTGCTTGAACTTGGGAGGTGGAGGTTGCAGTGAGCTGAGATTGTGCCACTGCACTCCAGCCTGGGCAACAGAGCAAGCCTCCGTCTCAAAAAAAAAAGTGTGTTGATTGAATGAAAATGATTTTTTTTTCTATAAAATAATGTTTCGTTGATTACTAGTGAGGGAGAACATATTTCCATGTTTATTACCCATGTATATTTACTCCTCTGTGAACTGTTTTGGGCTTTGAGTTTGAGAACCCACAAGTCATCTGTGTGTTCATGTCTAACAAACATCTGGAAATCCTTCTGATGAATTCCCACCTTCTACCAAAGACCTAGTATTCTGGGGTAAATCTGTACTGATCCCAGACATATCCACGACATTTACTTTTTTTTTTTTTTTACTAGATCCTTGATATTCTAGTAATTTAAGCATGAGACACTAGAAAATATCCTTATCAGAAGGTTTTAGCCTAGGCAACATAGTGAGACCCTGTCTTTACAAAAAATAGAAATTAGCTGGGCATGGTGGTACATGCCTACAGCTACTCAGAAGTACTGTTGCCATACTCCTGCTATCATGAAATGTATTTTGTCATGGAAAAAGTGGAAGTTTGGTAACAATGGGAAAAATTCACACAACCAAAGAACTGAAACAAAACTAGACATTACCCAAGCTACTCTCATCTCATATTTTTGCCTAGAAAATGAGGGTGGAGGAGAAAGGTGTTAAGAAATGGAAAATGACTTAGGCTTTCCCAAGTTTTCTGCTAAACATAGGGGAAATAGAGAATTCAGAAAGGAAACTTTCATTGCACTCCCCAAATTGGTAGCCCTGTGGTGCATTTCCTAAGAAATAAACTGGCACATTGAGCTATGTGGACGGGCAGGATGGTGCGTGACAAAGGTGGTGAAAAGGACTCCACAGCACCCAACTCTAGCTCTGCCTCTCAATACCTCCTGGGCATGAGAGATACTCTGGGCAAAGATGGCCTCTCTTGGCCTGAGTTTCTTACTGTAAAATAGAAGTGCCTTTTGGACATCACTCTGTGTATGGCTCATGTGCAAAGAGCCTCTGGACAGACAGCTCATGGAAGGGGAAGTGAAAATGGCCAACAAACACATGAAACATGCTCAGCATTACTAATAATTCTAAAATACCTATGCTGCCAGACTGTCATGAAGGCGGAAGCTAACTCAAGTGGAGCATCTGCACAGAACCTCACACGTGTCAATTCAGTTAGCGATGGTTATAGGTCAGAGGTTGTTAATGCAATTTTGACAGCCAAGGAATTTAAAAAAGTCTTTGACATGGGGTCAGGAACAATGAAATTAGGTAGGGAGAAGGGGATGGAGACTGTGATTATTGTTAAATAAGTAAGCTGTGTGAGGGATTGATTTTGTGGATGCCATACTGAGCAGCACTCTCTCATGGGGAAAGAAAGGGGTCTGGGTAGAAGCCGTGAACTGGAAGTTTGACAGTAGTGAGTGGCCAGGGTATCACCATCCTGGCATTAGCTGAATCAACAACAGGTGCCTCGTAAATGTTCCTTTTTCTTCCCAGGTGGTGGTGGTAACTGACAGAGAAGCGTAAAGCCCTACCTATGAGGAAAGCTCATAGACGGGTGTTTTCCCTAAGATGGTGCTTCTCACACTTGGGGTGTCACCTCTCAAGAGGTCAGGGTAAGGTCCTGAAGGCAGCATTGAATAGAATCCTTATCACTGTCCTCCTGGAATCAGAATTCTGATTTTTTTTTTTTTTTTTTTTTTCTGATTTTAGACAGGGGGGTGATGTGGTCTGGGGCTTTGGCCTATGTTCTTGCATTCAGCCTAAGTCTTGCCTGGTTCATTGCTCATTTGTTCACTTGTGACTATCGGTCTAAACTCATGAATATTTAAACAATACTGTGTGCATACCCAGAATCTGGCCAGAGGGCTGCAATTCAGGGAGTCCTTCTGTCTCACCCCTGGCTGACTCCTCATTGGATGAGAAGGGCCGCACATAGTAGCTAACAGCTCACTAGTTACTAATTACTGCAAAGAGTGCTGATGCCTAGGGATCACTCACTTTTTTACCACCTCTGCAGGAAACTGTAGTATGTCTCAAAAGCAGCTTAATAGATTAAAATGTCCCCAGAATCTGCTGACATTGTCTTCTCAACTTTCTCTGTTACAGATGATGTAAGTGGACCTGTAAGGCCACTGTACCTGAGGTAGGCCAGTAAGAGCAATGTGTGAGGATGTGGGGTGCACTGTATCAAAAAAGACCAGTTCCCAGGAGCATCTCAATCTAAGACAAGCCAGGATGGCCTTGAATTAGGATTCAGGTGGGACAAACGATGACTTTACAGTGGAAGAAAGGACTTTCAAAACAAGAATAGAGGAGTGAGGTGCATGGTCACAAGAAACACCATGGGTCCTCTGCAGTGCCAGTCAGGACAAGGCCCATACCAGCCTGCCTGGGCAACAGGACAGCCTGCAGACTCACACCCCCAGGTGCAACACAGAAGGGTTCAGGCTGGCTAGGGCTCTCCGGTCCCTGCTCCAGGTTCCGAGATTGACAGTTCAGAGTCTGGTCAGGGCTATTACAAAGTTAAACCCACACTAATGGGCACAGTGTAACAGCTTAGTGACAGAACAAAAATCCTGATTTGGAGGGTACAGGGAAATGGGCTCTTTTAAACATGACTGGTGAGAATATAATTTAGTACAAACATTTTGGAGGGCAATTTGGTTAAAAGAAAGATTAAAAGCCTTTAGATTTTATATACTCTTTGATCTTAATTCTACTTCTAGGAATTTTATACTGAATTACTAAAGATATGTGTAAAACTTTAGATATTAGCATGTTTATAATAATGAAAAACTGGAAACCACTGAAATGTCCAACAATGAATTAAATAAATTGTGACACATCCAAACAATGCCACTCTGAAAAGAGATGTTTTAGAATATGTAATGATGCTGGCACTGCTGGCTGGGTGACTCAGCACCCATCCCGTCACCCTTCTTCCTTGCCCATCTCTGATGGAGAGGCCCGTAAAACAAAATGCTGGCTTTCTCAGACTCCCTTAGAGTTAAGAGCCACCTTGAGACCATAAAGTAACACAGCCGCCTAAGACAGCTAGAGTGTCCTTGGCAATGTCCTTGAGCTGTTCCACCAGCCTAGACCTCCTGCCTCCTGAGCAAAATACCCCATTATTTGTTCAAGCCACTGTTAACAGGGTTTGCTGTTACTTGTTTCAAAACACAATTCCAACTGATAAAGACGTGGAAAGATGTTTACAGTACATCAAATGGGGGGAAAATGCAGTCATGCACCACATCACAATGGTTAAGTCAACAACAGACTCTGTGTCTGCTAGTGGTTCCATAAGATTATACTATATTTTTACTGTACCATTTCTGTTGAGTTTTATGTATATATCTATGTATATACATATTTACTTATTTATGAGTGAATGAAGACATCTTAATTTGTTTCCTAGGCTGGAGTGCAGTGGTGCAATCATACTTCACTGTACCTTTTCTATGTTTAGCTCTACATACCTATCTATCTATCAATCAATTATATGTCTCTGTATCAATTATCTATCTATCTATCTATCTATCTATCTATCTATCTATCTATCTATGAATGGTGGGGTCTCACTCTGTCTCACCCATACTATCTATCTATCTATCTATGAATGGTGAGGTCTCACTCTGTCTCACCCATGCTGGAGTTCAGTGGCACAATATGGCTCACTGCTGCCTCTAACTCCTGGACTCAAGTTAGAGTCCTCAGCCTCCTAAAGTGCTGGGATTACAGGCATGAGCCACCATGCCCAGCCCATATGTTTAGATACCCAAATACTAACCATGCTGTTTGAATTGCCTACAGTATCCAGTGCAGTCACATGCTGTACAAGTTTGTAGCCTAGGAGCAATAGGGGATGCCATATAGTATAATGTAGTAAGCAATAACATCTAGGTTTGGGCGAGTACACTCTATGATGTTTGTACAATGACAAAATCACTTCAAGACACATTTCTCAGAATGTATCCCCATCATTAAGCAACATACGACTGTATTACAGAACAAAAATATACCAACAGTCATTGAAGAAAAATGTGAGAGCATATTCTAAAATTATAATTGTGGTTCTGTTTGATGGTACAGTTATATGGGATTTTTATTTTCATCTTTGCATTTATCTGAATTTTCTAAATTTTCTGCAGTGAATATGTTTTACTTTTGTGATATGAAAAAAAACAAAATATTTAAAAAATAAAAGAAGGTAGACAAATAACTGCATAAATCTTGTGGTCAGGCAGCAACAAGTCCTTGACAAT